ACGTTGTATTGTGTGTAAAAGTACTAATCCCGCTACCCATTCCAAAGTTACCAGTTTTAAATCGAAAGTAACTAACAAAAACTATATTATAAAAGATTTTATTGGATGTAACACTACCAATGTTATCTACCTATTGAAGTGCCCTTGTGGCCTTCAATATGTGGGTATGACTACCAGATACCTTAAAACAAGATTAGCAGAACACTGCCAAAATATAAAAAATGGTTATGCCAACCACTCTGTATCAAAACACTTTGAAAAACACAATCGGGATCCTAAATTTCTTAAATGTATCGGAATAAAAAAATGCAAAGTCCCATGGAGAGGTGGCAATATAAAAAATATTTTAGGTAAAAATGAGATGGAGTGGGTATTTAATCTACAGACGTTAGCCCCCCAAGGCTTAAATGTGGATTTTGATTTATTTAACTTCTTATGATTTTATTCACTTTATCTTTATCTTCCTTATTGTGGTCATTTTGGGGCTATCCTATTCATAGTTGTTACCTACGGCATTATAGTCTAGGATACCCCCAATCTGACCACACTATAGATATTTTAATTATAATATATATATACATGTTATCACTAAAACATGTATGTATTTCTTGTTATCCCTTGAGATATATATTTTATATATTTTTTATATATATTTTTTACTTATATATGTGCTTATAAATATGCTGCTATTATATTAACTCATTATTATATGAGGATTATTTATGCTGATACCCTTTTGTATGTCTCTTATCAGTGGTTTTTCTTTTATTTACTTGCCTGTCTTATGTACATTATGATTGTGTTTTAATATGATCGTTATTCTAAGTATATGCAGTGTATTTTCCATATTCTGCTCGTTTTCCCATCTAACTACATTTCCCAGGCGCCAAAGCGCCGATCACGTGACCCGTGCACTACACTGCTTGTGTATGCCGCGGGTCACGTGACGTCACACGCACCCGCCTCCAAGACGTTTACACCGCCCATTGCTGGGACGGCTAATATGAATGTCTGTGTGCGATCACGTGACCCGCGCACTACATTTCCCATAGTGCCACGCGGGTCACGTGACGCGCTACAACAATATTTAATTCCAACTAAAAGCTTCGTTTTTCATATGTATAATGCATAATATGATTGTGATACACATATTTTCATTCTTACTCATTACAATCTCTGTTTTATGTGCTTCTCAAAGTTTTGTTATCCATGAACATTATGCTTGATTCTGATTGGTTAAAGCTAATTGATGCTGTTTTTGGTGCAATTTTTAAAGTACTAGTGTCCCTATATATATTTTATTCTTGCCAGGTTCTCATGTTATACCATTTTGATAAAACCCTAGTGGTGAAACGCGTTAATGGTTTTTATTGTGTATTTTAAATAATAAATTAAGTTTGGCTATATTCTTGTGCCATCTATATTATTATTTTATTATTTTTACACATAACCTTTTTTTACTACCTATTTCCTGGCATTTTATATATATCCTGAGGTGGGGATTATACCGCCCACGCGACATTCCAAGTGCAGTGATATCTGCACTCTATTTGTGAGTATATTTCCTATTCTTTTTATTTTTATACCACATTATATTATCAGAGAGCACTATTGGTTGTTCCTATTTTTCCTTTTCCTGAGAGTTGGACACCGTCATACTCCAAGAGGACAAGCATTCGTTATATCCTACAAGCAGGGATTATTCTGCTGAAAACCCATTACCCCTGAGCTGGTCATAGCTCATGATAATGTGAGTGTAATTCATCTTCTTATTTTATATCTTCACATTTTATACATTCTGCACGATTGGTCCTTTCCCTTTGTGTTTTCCATATCACGAGACGATCTGAAGTATCACAGACAGAGGAAACACTTTACCAGTGGAAATTGTGGAACAGACACTTCTACCCTCCAACATATATTGGGACTCATTTTATTTTATTTATTTATTTATTTTATTTATTTTTTCGTTTTATTTTGGCGCTACCTTTCTTCCTGTTTTACTGTACATTATCTAGAGGGTTACCCTCTATAAGGTTGCTGCCTACTTTTTTTTTTTTTTTTTATATTATTAGCGCTTACCTATTTTTTACTTTTTCAGGATGATTCAGGGTTGAATTAATAAGGCAGGTTAGTTCCTTCAGGTATTATCATCCAGTAATTACTTGCATTGTATAAGAGTTGAAGTAGTTGATGCAGGTAAATACCTTTCAGTATAAGGCAAATACAGGTTGCTTACAGGAACATGCAGAGTTGAAGTAGTTAAGTAGCTTCCAGTATAACGCAATAGAGGTAGCTTGCAGAGTTGAAGTAGTTGAAGCAGTTAAGTATCTACCAGTATAAGGCAATACAGGATGATTACAGGAGCCAGGATCAGAAGTACTCCGTTGGAACACTGACTTCAATGTCAAGGCCACTTGTATCATAGGGTGTGGCCTTTTATAGCTGAGTTGATTGAAGTCTCTCCAGGGGAGAGCCTGAGATGTCTAGTGCCTTGTGAGGCCACTAGAGGTGAAGATAAGGAAGTGAAATAAAAGGAGCATAATAAATGAAAAAGGCTTACATGTCAGTTTTGGAATCTGACACCTGCATATCTCAAGTTGGGCTTTGAGGGGTTCTTCTTGGGCATAGGAACTCGGGAAATCCCGTTTCATGTTTGCACAACTATCCTAGAGTTCCCTGCTTGACATACAAATGAGCACAGGAAGGCATCTTGTTTCAGACTTTCATAATGCATTTCTGCAGATTCCCTTAGCAATGAACGCAGGTTTTTCTTTAAACCAAAGCATGGGCTGTGATTCCAAGGATTAGTGACCTAGCTATATACTCGCAGAGAGATTTGAGCTTACAGACCAGAAACAGCGCCATGCTGATTAGGTCCAGAAGGTCAAACTGCAGTCCATGACTGGTTCCTGTTCACTATCCTTTTCGAGGGAAGCCATTTTGTAAGCATAAAGTCAGTGAAAGACAAATGACAGCAGTCCCTAGTAACCGAGGATCTTCTCTTTATCTCTCACACAACCTCAGCCTGACTGAGATAAGCAGTTCCACTTATGGAAAATGTATAACCAGAGCTCATTGGGACAGGGAGGACGATAATTGGAGGTAAAAAAAACACAACTCTTGTGGCAGTGACTGAATGCTTTGAGTATGGTTGACTGGACCATGCCTTGGCTCTGGTTCCCTGACAATTGTGACAGGTAGCTCAGCAGTGACAATTTCACACTTGATCTGAAATGCTTATCACTGCTATGCTGCCTGCTATGCTGCCTGTCATTAATCAACTTGGTGCTCAATTGCAATGGCAAACACAATCAGACACACAATGTTATTATACACCTAAGTTCATGTTTTGAACTAAGACTTATAGACCTTGCCATGACTTACTTCTCAGTATTATGTTCTTCACAGAATTGTTGACGATGAAACCCCTGAATATTTTTCTTATTCCCATTTAAAATCAGATAATACAGAATGTAAAAAAGATATTGCAAGAGAGAAGGGATAAACAGTGCTTGCAAGTGGAAATAAGACATTATGAATAACGTAGAGAGAGAGAAAGAATAAAAGATAAGGGCTGCTCTCTGTTCTGTTTTTATTATGAATAACGTGCCTGGTCTTAAAGGGAACTTGTCCTCCCAACACAAATACAGATACACTGCAGATTTAGTTTAAGTGACTTTTAATTCTTCACAAATGTGTTTTTTTTCTGTTTTTTTTTTTATAATGCTTTATTTTTATTGTGCATTTTGTGAGATACATTTAAACTTGGAGTTCCACAACAGCAGCAACAATCGTGGTAACATACAATGGTAAATCTGTACATCTCAAGCAATAGTTCTGCACAATTTTTGAAGTATTAAGTAAACAGGCTATACAGACATATCTAGGTCAGAGTGTTAATATGAGATATTGTACATGGACAAGTTAAGATGAGGTATACAGTAGAGTATTGATGAACACGCTTACATACCATATGTCAGTGAGTAGAGTGCTAAAGTAGTAACAAAATCTAATCTACTATATATGGTTAGTTGTAGTAATATAGTAAGGATATGCAAGCAATATCTTTATACTACACAATTTTATTAAAGTAGGATCAGGTTAGTCTTATATTGTAAGACAAGATATTAACTAAGTTAGTCAAGGGAACAGTAGAGGTAGGCTAAACTAGAGTGGATAGCTTAGAGTCAAGCTACATCATCTGACAATGGGATTAGCAGTAACAATTCACCCAAGAGGCCCCCTTTTTACATAGAAACATAGAATGTGACGGCAGATAAGAACCATTCGTCCCATCTAGTCTGCCCAATTTTCTACATACTTTCATTAGTCCTTATCTTATAGTTAGGATAGCCTTATGCCTATCCCACGCATGCTTAAACGCTTTTACTGTGTTAACCTCTACCACTTCAGCTGGAAGGCTATTCCATGCATCTACTACCCTCTCAGTAAAGGTGTTTTGGTATTAACACCTGGCTATGGCATATAAAATGATCTCAGACGCAATAAAATAAACAGTCTCAACTCAAGTAAAAGAAGAGCAGGAATACAAGTGGAAGTTAGGAGGCATGAGAGTCTGCCAGTGAGAGTCACAGTCTCCGGCTACCCAATTCCCCTCTGGGGCAGTTCTGCTTCGGTGTGGCAGCCGCCAGACGCTGCCGCCCCCATATGGGTCGAGGAAATAGTGGGCAGAATTGTGGAGATGGTCCATGCGCCAGCCTCGGAGATCCCCGCGACACTGTAGGCAGTCGTGAAGGGGCCAGATGGAATTGCTTGTGTGGGCCAGATGGTGTGGTGCATCTGTACCCCGGAATAGTAAAGCAACCTTGGCATCTCTGCTGTTGTCCGGTCTGTCTTGGACCCTGAGCTCTTTCGTTGACAGTATGGCGGGTGCCACCGAGGTAGAAGAACCAGCAGCTCCTGTGACTCACGTTGGCTTTGGGCCATCTTCACCCAAAGGATTTCATTAGCTCAATGTGTGTTCGGTAATACTTTGTTCACCACCTGTGGAGCCTCGGACTGGTAGTGGTAGGTGCTGGTCGGTTGTCTTGACGCCAGACTGCTTGCTGTCGGTATATATTTGGTTTCCGCAAGGAGAGTTTAGTATGTTGTAGTGGGTTAGGCTGATGCAGCTTGTGCTCCAGCTTCTTCCAGAATGTCTCAAAGTGTTTGTTCAGCTTTGTCAGGATGTCTTGTGCAGAATCGGCAGGACCCTCAAAATCTGCGGTGTCCGCCATCTTGGGTAACTCTCTGTGAGGGTTCTCTGCCCATGTGGCGACATCCATTTCACCATGCTTGGGGTTGCCTCCTCTGGGTGGACCAGGTTCACCCCCACCGGCCCAAGGGGGGTAACAGTGTTTGCTCATGTTATAGGCAGCTTCAGGATACCTCCAGGGTCGGGGGAGTGGCTGTCTCTCCCACCAGATGTAAACCAGGCCGCACTGGCAGTCATGGTACCCACGGGTCCCGGGCAGGTCGCATAACACTCCACTGCAGGTCCTCCGTTGTAGGGGGCAAGTGGGTACAACTGTTTGTCTCATCAGGGAAAGCCTTAACTTGCTTGTATTTCCAGGATTGTGGGAAAACGGGTCTCATGGCCATGATGGTTAGGCCCCGTTTAAACATGTGCTTGCACTTTACAAAAGTCCTCAAGACATAAGGACACAGTGCCAGTCATTTGGTTGATTAGGAGGTGCAGATGGTGTATCACATGATTATAATGTTTGACTTGATACTCCTGTCTCTGTGAGTGAAGAAAAGAAACAGGCCACTCGTTCTAAGCCCAGCCCAACTTGGAATTTATTACAGTCCAAGACTCAGAATGTATTGAGAGATCTATATTAGGAGGCCCAGACCAGACCTGCTGGACCTCCCTTTTGTAGATGGGCTGGTTCTTCTCATGTCGTGTAATATTCAGTAACAAGATTATCTTGTTGTTATGTCCTGCAGCAGGGCAAATTGCCAACTTGCCTCTACCATGCTTATTTACTATATCTATATATTTGTATTAAAATATCTGTAATCTCTTTCTCTCTCTCTCTCTCTCTCTCTCTCTCTCTATATATATATATAAATACATATACACTAATGCACTCCCACCTTTCCCATTAATGTATCAGATCACATATAGTTAACAGTGGCAAATTAGGTCTTCGTTGCAAAATACAAAATGTTAATATCAAATTCAATAAATGCATACTTTAATTAAATGAGACCTTTCTGAGTTTTGAGCAAGCCAGACATGTCTCCTCAAAGTCAATGTTCAGTTGATACATTAGTGAGAATTCCCTTTTTGGCTATATTTCATTCTACCATTATGTTAAAATTATGTGAAATGATAAAAATCACAGTATTAAAATTGGATTCTTGTGATTGACAATGTAGAACATTACACCTGGCCTGACATAGCACTGAATGTTTCTGCCTGGTCTATACAAGTAACATGTATCTCACTGACAGACACAGATTTACTGCCAAGTGTACAATCTGGAAAGCTAAATGTTTTTGTTGTATGGAAACCATAAAACTCAAAACCTATGTTAAATGAAGTGTTTACTTCCCCTTTGAAACATAAAATGAACATGCATTATACAGATACTATCCAAGTCATGTACCTGTAGCTGTGGTTAGGGTGAGTTAACACTGCCAGTCATGTGCTTGCAATCACGACTGATCCCAAGAGTTCTTAGTGTACTAAGCAAACTAGTTTTATTGCCCCCACCCTTCCATTTCCCTTAATTAAAATCTCTTGTATTTGGCATGTACAAGCTTGAAATAGTGACCCTTTCAACTTGGCTCCCTAGACAGCAGCATAATTTGTCCCAATGGCCTTCCTATCCTGTTTGTAATATGTTTTTTAGTTGAAAAGTTATTAAACTGTTTTTAACTCTTAACTGTTTAAGTGGGAATTTTTGTTAAAATTGACATTGAATTACATTACATTTTCACTTACACCCTGTTCCAAATTATTATGCAAATAATATTTCTCATTTACCTAAATAATTGATGTAAATAACAGTCAGCCTAATTCTCATGTTATCAACTATTAAGAGTACAATTCAAATTTTATTTAACAAACCTCCTAATGATAACAGTATTTTTTTAAAAACATTAAAAAAACTTACAATGAACTGTTCCAAATTATTACACACAGTAAGTTTCAAAATACTTATAGGTTGTAAAGAACTGAAAATTGTCATTTTTTGTGTTTGCAGCATATTTACTGAAATCAAAAGCTATTTCAATCAAACTTGTAACATTTGAACTTTTTAAACATTTTAACAGGTCACGTTATATTTTAGTAAAAACCAAAGAGAAAAAAAAGTTACCTGCGCTCTTTCCACACCCCTATGTGTTTTTAAACAAATGGAGGTTTTTAGTACCTCCAATGGCCATGAGAGGGTAAGCCCACCTGCCACATCAATGCAGACCTCTTAGTTCCTAACGCTAAACATTCACCTTGCTTCCTTGAGCTTCTGGCAAAAATCTCTCTAATGAGACAGAAAGGGGTATTTTTTATATACATCCCTACATGCTTATTAACCCTTAATAGGGAACACATGGGATGGGCAGCAGCATTGCAACCTAGTTGTGTGATACAAAAGTGAATACAAATACAAAGTGTAACGGAACTTCCCGTACTCCGACCGAGTACCTTCCGTTGATGGACGCTTCCTAGCTCGCGCCAAGGACCACAATCTCCGCACCGGACACCACAACCACCGCAGACTCCACAACCGCCGTAGCTTAACTGGAGTCTAGCCGTCTTCCTTCCAACCCGGATCAGCTTCTGTCCTCTAGGACCGTGTGGTGAAAACCTCTCCTCCAGGAGAGCGTATCAGGAACAAGCTCTAAAAAGAGCTAAGTGATTAAAGCTCAGGGGAGTATGCAGAGTATAGCAATCCCCAGTGTGATATAGCAGTTCCCTCCAATCACGAGAAAAGACTATGTGTTGAGGATCAAGAAGATCTGTTTTACTTGGCACCAAAGGGCCTTCTTTTATGCAGGTTTTACAGATACAGTACCGGCCACAGGGTTTTGTAAAATAACCAATAAACATGGGCGTCCGCAGGAATTTTTCCGGGGGGGGGGGGCATATTTGTAAAGACAACAATGCTTGGCCCCTTTTTGACAGTGTCATGAAAGGGAAGGAGCATAGTCATTTTCACATAAAGCCAGGGTGAATAGCTTTTTTGCAACTATGGTGTCAGGAATATATGTTTGTATTCCTGACATTATAGTGTTCCTTTAATCAAATTAAAGGAACATTCTGGTCACCATAACAACTTCAACTAAATGAAAATGCTATGATGCAAGGAGGCCCCTGGGCGCTCTCTTTCCGTTAAAGGGGTGAAACCACTCTCAAATGGTTTACCCCCAAAGGCTTCCTCCAGCACGAGATCTCCAGGTCGCTCAGTGGCATTCAGCTTCTTAAACGGAGTGTCAGGAAGTGCAGATTGACGTCAGGCATGGGCGCCGCTGATTGGCTAGAGTGGTCAGCTGACGCTCTAAGCCAATCGCTAGTTCCCGATTCATAAAAATGTTTTACGTTTTCATGAATGGGGAGCTACTGATTGGCTTAGAGTGGCAGCTGACCCTCTAGCCAATCAGCGGTGCCCCTACCCAGCGGCCCTCTGTGCTTCCTGACACTCAGTAAATTAAAGTGAACACATTAACAATGATTTTTTTTTTTACTTGGGGAGATGAGAAGGTCCAAAGTTTCCCTGCCAGGCCCAGGTACCAAAGCCTTATGATGTGGTGTCCAGAATGAAGTGCTCCAATCTCATTTTCTTCTCCTTCATTTGACACAGTCTTCTTTTTCTTCTGAGGCTCCTTCTGCAGTAACGGCTCTAGACTTTATGAGTTGCAATACATGCACACGGTCTCATATACACATTGATGCACAGTTTACCTGTGTATGTGCCTGAGAGTGTGTCTGACAGAGTGTGTGTGTGTCTCTGTTAGCATGTTTGCGTTTTTGTCTGGTACCCTATGTGTATGGGGTAGCTGCTTGAAGAGGGGGGTGATGGTGAGAGGGAGAGGCGGGTGATGGTGAGAGGGAGAGGCGGGTTATGGTGAGAGGGGGTGATGGTGACGGAGGGGGTAATGCTGCTGATGGAGGGGGTGATGGGGGGTAATGTTGTGGGTGGTGAGGGGGTGATGCTGAGGGAGGGAGTGATGGTGAGGGGGGTAATGCTGAGGGAGGGAGTGATGGTGAGGGGGGTAATGCTGAGGAGGGGATGATGGTGGGAGGAGGGGGTGATGGTGAGGGAGGGAGTGATGGTGAGGGGGGGTAGGGGGGGTATGCTGAGGGGGGGTAATGCTGAGGGAGGGGTGATGGTGAGGGGGGGTAATGAGGGAGGGAGGATGGGAGGGGGTGACGGTGAGGGGGCAATGCTGAGGGAGGGAGTGATGGTGAGGGGGGTAATGCTGGAGGGAGGGGTGATGGTGAGGGGAGGGGGTGATGGTGAGGGGGGTAATGCTGAGGGAGGGGGGGTGATGGTGGGAGGGGAGGGGGTGATGGTGAGGGGGTAATGCTGAGGGTGGTGAGGGGTAATGCTGAGGGTGGTGAGGGGGTGATGCTGAGGGTGGTGAGGGTTGATAGTTGGGGTGATGCTGAGGGAGGGGGTAATGCTGAGGGTGATGAGGGGGTGCTTGTGAGGGGGGGATGCTGAGGGTGGGTGAGTGATGCTGAGGGTGGTGAGGTCGTGCGGGTGATGCTGAGGGTGGTGAGGTCGGGGTGATGCTGAGGGTGGTGAGGTCGGGTGATGGAGGGGGTGGTGAGGGGGTGATGCTGGGGGATGATGCTGAGGGTGGTGAGGGGGGGTCATGCTGAGGGTGGTGGGGTGACGGAGGGTGGTGAGGGGGTGACGCTGAGGGGTGGGGGGAGAGTGATGCTGTGGGGGTGATGCTGAGGGAGGTGGGGGGGTGATGCTGAGGGTGGTGGGGGAGTGATGCTGAGGGTGGGTGAGGGGGTTGATGCTGAGGGTGGGTGATGGGGGTAATAGTGAGGGGGTGATGCTGAGGGTGTGAGAGGAGGTATAGGGAGGGGGGTGATGCTGAGGGTGGGTGATGGGGTAATAGTGAGGGGGGTGAGAAGGGGGTGGGGGGATGATACTGAGGGTGGTGAGAGTGAGGGGGGTGATGCTGAGGGGGGGCAATGCTGAGGGTGTTGAGGGGGGTACCCTCACTTACCTGCTCTGTAGGCTGCCTCTGTGCTGCTCCCCTGCGGTTTCAGTCATGGAGAGGCAGGGATAAGCAGTAGCTTCCTGCCTTTCTCCATTCACAGCGCCACCTACTGGCCGGCGCCGGTATTGCAGTGTATTCTCACACAAACCAAAAATAGCAGCACAAGCTGATAAATCCAGGGGGGGCATGTGCCCCCTCTTTCCCCCCCCTGCGGACGCCCATGCCAATAAAGCATGTCACATACAGTAAAACCACACCCATTCAATCCCACAAAATCCTCCCCTCTGCCTGTGATACAATTATCTCAACACAATAGACTAACTTAGTCACAGGCAGGAAAATACAGTATTAT